TGGTCACAGCCGGGGCCAGTGGCCGTTCCCTGTGGTTTGGGCGCCAGGGTTCCCGAGGCCGCGGTCAGAGTGAGGCCGTGGGTTTCCACCCGGCAGTTCTCCCCGGGTCTGAATTTCCCGTAAGAAACCGGTGACCTTACGTGTCCTCACCCCCCTGCGCCTCAGGCTGGGAACCCGCCTATAAGGGTGTCTGGGCCCGGCCGGCGGGGCTCTGTGGTTGAGCGTCGACCTGTGAACCAGGAGGTCAGGGTTCGATTCCCGTCAGGGCACAGGCCGGGGCTGTGGGCTGGATCCCCAGTGCGGGGCGTGCAGGAGGCAGCTGATCAATGACTTCGTTGATATTTCTATCTCTCTCTCCCTCTCCCTTCCTCTCTCTGAAAACACGGGCAGGGAGCCGGTGCCCCTGCAGGAAAGAGACCCGCCCCCTCCGGTCCCCTCTTGGGGAGGATCAGCCCTCGGTGTTATTCCCGCGCTGGCCTCCTGCCCATGAGCTGTCCCCTGGCGCCTGCATTCACTCATCGGGATTCCGCTCTCGGGGGCGCTGTCCGTGCGACCCCACTGCCTTGTGCCGTGATTGCTGTCAGCGCGGCCCGCGGGTGCATCTGTCATCTCACCCTAATGGGCTGCCTCCCGGTGACTGATGGCTCTGCGTTTCGGCTCAGGTGGTCCCCGCCGTGGCCACTGGAGAAGCTCGGAGTCCACGCTGTGTCCTTCCACGTGGCCATTCTTTTAGCTCCTTCTTATTGCCCGGCACCCTCGGGGCTCCCGGTTCATCCGTCCCTGGCCCTGCCCCCAGAAAGACTGTCACTCAGTACATGTCAGTGTTGGTCCTGGCTGGTGTGGCTCAGTGGATAGAGCACTGGCCTGCAGACTGAAAGGTCCCAGGTTCGATTCCCGGTCAGGGCACAGGCCCGGGTTGCGGGCTCAATCCCCAGTGTGGGGCGTGCAGGAGGCAGCCGGTCCCTGCTTCTCTCCCATGGATGTGTCTATCTCTCTCTCTCTCTCTCTCTCTCTCTCCCTTCCTCTCTAAAATGAATAGAAACACACACTTAAAAAAAGACATGGGAAGGTTTGCGCCTCGTGCGTTCATTCCTCGCAGGTTCCAGAGTTTGCGACGCCAGCAGAGGCGAGAGCGGACGGATGGCGCCCTCGGCGGGGCTTCCTGCCAGAGCGGCTCACAGCCCGTCGCCGGGGCTGCTCGGGGGCGTTCTCGGAATCTTCCCTGACGCCCCCTCTCCGTTCTCTCCCCAGGTTCGCCGTGGCTTTCACCGAGTCCATGAGGGCGGCCGCGTGCCTGCAGTGGGTGTGTGTCCGGGCGTTTCGTGCTGTGATGTCGGTTGTGCCGGGGACGTTGCAGAATCGGAGGAGGGAGGGAGTCGGAGGATATTTTCCCGTGGATTTTTAGAGCGAGTGGAGGGGAGGGGGAGAGACAGAGAGAGACGTCGCTGTGAGAGAGACGCATGGATGGGCTGCCTCCTGCACGCGCCCCGACCAGGGCGCTTGGGTCCGCAGGCTGGTGGTCTCCCCACTGAACCAGACCGGCCAGCGCTCTGACCTGGACTTTAAAGGGTCTGGGCCACGGCGCCAGCGGGACCGGAAACGGAGTCTCTCCCCGGTGGTTTGGGGCGTTCCCGGGAGAGCGCGGCGGGAGAGCAGTGTCTCTCGGTGTCAGTCTCTGGGTCCTTCCTGCAAGCGCCACCCTCCCCTGCGGTCCCCGGGCTTCCAGGAGGTCCTCCCAGGGCCCTCACCACCCCTCCCTCCCGGGAGAATCGGCCCTGGTGCCTGTTTTCTGTCTCCAACACATTGTGTTCTCTCCTC